ACCTACGGCATCATCAAGTGTATATTCTTGTTCAGTTGAGTCATTTAAAAATCCATATGTGTCTAATTTAGTTTGAACTATTTTTCCACTTGAATCAAGTAGAAGAAGAAGACCAGCATTGAGAAGTAGTGGAACTGAACCGAATATTGGTAAACGTGTTGTGCCGACAAACATTATTTGCGGACCTTTTAGAGAATCGCGATATACAGAATATGTTGTTATCGAATCAGAGTCGAAACTAATAAATATCCACTAAAATAAACAAAAGAGAAAACTAGTAATTTTATGTCTATTCGAGTAATTTCATAGATTCTCAATTGGAAAGTTATGTCGTAAGACATTCAAGACGAGGAAAAACAAAATAGATAAATTGAGAAGACAAATATTGAAGCTAATGTGATTAATATGAGTATTAAAACTTCGCTTATCAGAAACATGTATATTATCTTTGAAATTTATAATTCACTGAGAAAATTTTCAAGAGAGTTAGAATTTAGGGAATATCTTTAAATAATTATGACTATTTTTTATTGAGAATCGATTGATATTCACTGTTCCAATATACTATGTTTCTATATATTGTATTAATGATTTATGACTCTTTATTCTACTAAAATTCCTTGAAATATACAACGATTAGCTGTTTAAATGTTTTAAAATTTTCATCTAGAGCAAACATTTTTTTCTTCAATAAGGAATGTTCAACCCATCATCACACAGTTCTACTTATAAGAATAATATCCTCTCGAGAAAAACAGATTTTGTTTGAAAATGAATTTTTTCTGTATCAATGAAAGAAAATCTTCATGAAATATCGTTCAAATATAAAAAGATAAAAGTAAAATATTACCTCATTTTCCAAACTAGTTTCCCATATAATAGATTTCGTTCCTGAAGGAAGATTGGGAATTTGAATAATACTTGGATTTTCGAAAAACTAATTAAGAAATGTTTTTTTCTGTAAAACTATAAACATTTCTGTGAACATAAACTTACGACATTATATATGTATCCGTCACCTTTTTGATCAATAAATGCAATTGATGTTCCAAAGTTTTCTGTGAATAACTTTTGTATACTTGTTTTATGTTTATCAAATTTATTCACGATTTGCCACTCTTCAATATGAAAGAATATTAATGTACCTTTCTAAAAAAAATAAAAGTAACTTGATAAATACCTCTATGTTCTAATTTAATTTAATCTTACATCGGTACCAAAGACAAGAAAGTCTTTTGTGAGATTGAAACAAACAATTTTCCCATCATTTGCTTCAGGTAATGGAAACATAATTGAATGACGTTCTTCGCTATGGTGTTCGGATTCTTCAATCTAAAATTTTTTTTCATTGAAGATAGAAAACAAATAAAAAGAAGTGAACAATACCATATGTAATTGAAGACGTCCATTCATATAAGCAGCTGCGTAATGAGAATTGATTTGTAATTCTGATATTGTAGTAACATAATCATGTTCAGATGCTTTGATAACGTCTATCAAAAATTCAAAATTCAAAAGTAAAATTTTTATTCTTTTAAATTAAAAAAAACCTTCAAAACTTTGAATACGATAATATAAAGCATGATTATTAAAACCAACCGCAATATAAACATCACTCATAGCTAATACACTCGGTTCAATTTCTGTTGTTAGATGAACATTATCAATCTAAATTTTTAGAAATAAAAATAAACATATGTACACATCTATCAAAATATTTTCTCATTCTTTACTTTCGTTTTTGTTTGATGATCATAAATTGACACTTCACATAATGATGTCATAAAAGCTATTTTTTGCTGCCAAACACTTGCTAACATTGATAATTTTGTTAAATAAACATAAATAGCACCTGAAGTTTTTGACACTGCTAATAATTGTCCATCGACACTCCAAGCTAAGATTATTATATACAGATCGATAGATAGATCAATTTAATTCTATGAAGCAAAACGAAAAAGAAGTAGTAACTTACCAATATCAGATAAATTATCATGTCCTTCTTCTATTGCAATGATTGAATCAATGACATATTGATCTGATAGTTCATGAATTTTAATTCCGCCATTTCCACATGTGGCTGCTTTATGCAGTGTTGTTGATATTGCTAGGCTTGACAGATAACCTTTATGATCACGAGCTTTATGCAATTCCTATAGCAAAAGATTGTTTTCTTTTAAGTTTTAACAAAAAATATTAATTATTAATTTTATTTACTTCACCAATTTCTTTATGATATGTTGAAATAACAATAAAATAACCTCCACTAAATCCAATCATAATATATCCATCACCAAACCTATTATTATTTTTATATAAATCTGCGATTCAAAATGAATATTTTCGTTTTTTTCTTCTTCTTACCATTGATAATCATTAATATCTCCATATTTATCTTGAAAATTAAGTGTAAACAACTGACTAGCTGCAGTTGACGCTGCACTATTATTTAGATCTCCGACAGTCCATAAACCTAAATGTTTTTTTCCTATAATTGCACTTACCTAAAAACAATAGATTTTGTTTTGTGATACTTTTTAACATAATCAAAAACTAACTGTGCTTTCTTCATAAGTTCCTCGTTTTTCTCGTTTCATTTCTGAAAATTTTAAATTTCTAGGCGTATCATTTGTATCACACCGTTGAAGAACAGTTCCACTTGATGACATAACTGATATTCGATTATCCTGAGCACCTATAGCTAATAGATTATCTTTACTCCATGCCATTGTTGTTATACGGCCAGAATGTTGGCCGATTAAAGGTAATTTTCTAAAATATTTGATTAGGTATCATATATTGTTCGTTCAATTGAACGGAACAGAAAAAGAATTTTCATACTTAGCCGTTGATTGATCGTAGAGAATAATATTACCACGTGTTGTTCCAATGGCAAGAATAGGAGATGCTTTTGACCATGCTATTACAGAAGTGTAGTCTCTATAAATGGTAATGAAATATTTAGCATTCAAAATACAGTTTTTATCGTTTGATTTTAAATTAGTTTTCAGACTATGCATGAGAATTTCAATGGAAAATTTTCAGTTAATTGAATGGCAATCGGGGGATTTTATGACAATTGTAGTTGATTGAGTCAAGTATACTAAGTAGATACTAATGTTTCAGTGGACCGTGCCATCGTTTTTGCATTACTCGACATTTTCAAGCGTTCCATTTAGATCTTATCATCTCTGTTGACAATCTGAAACATCCTTTATATTGTACTATGAACCATTGATTGATAAAAAGTGGGGAATTTCTTTTGTTTTTCATGCAAAGCGCATCAGATCAAACTGAAACCTGTTTCTACTACTACTACTACTACTACTAGAAAGCGTTTATGATGCTTCAACCCCTTTATTTTTCTTCAACATATAATGTACCACTGTTTTTTTTAGATTAGCACTTACAAAAATAAAATTTCATTGAGGAAGCATTCAGTTCTCTGCGATTATTCGAATCGAATAAAGAAAAAAAATCGATATTTGAAAAGCAGCCTATATGCTTTGTGAAAACAAATGTGCTGAGATATGAGTTGAATTGGGACAGAAAAATTGAGTAATATTTGTAGGTCACGCTTAGCTCTTCTGATTTCATCATTCTCTGCAGTGAATCCTTCAGAAAAATCGGTTCTACAACAAAATTTTCTCTCATGATTCAGATCTGTATACTTGTGGTACTTGCAGACTTTTTCTGATGATCGGGTCTGGATAAACAGTAAATATCTGCATAATTTTTATTAAAATATATTCCTTCAAAGTTTGGTCTTATTTCGAACAGATTTTGATGTAGCCACAAACACTGAACAAGAAGACATCTATACGTCAATAGTACTATTGGCTTTTCAAAAATTACATTTTAATAATTGAACTTGACATTTTCGAAATTTTATTGATGCTACCTATCTATTCTATAAAGACAATTGGACAGATCTTTCGTCGAGATTATTATCGTCAGACCTAACAGTATCTATTAGTTATTAGTTGTACACTGAAAAATTATTTACAAACTACTAGGATGTACAATTATTGTACAGTACATGTTTTTTTTTGTATTTCATTATTGCTAGATTTATCTATCTATTTTTTAAAATTATTTAAGAAAAAGTTCAACCACTTACTTTGCTGGTGTATCAATAGTAGTCGCCTTTTGACTATTGGCATTCCATAAGTAAACTAGATTTGATTTTTCTGTAATAGCTGCTAATGTATCTCCATCTTTATCCCAATTCAATTGTAAGCATGTTCTAGAATCAAAATCAAAATGTATAGATCTTGTTTTTCCTATTAATTGCTATTTGCTTATGGCTTACCCTTTTAAAGGAATCGAAGCAACTTCATCACCTTGCCGATTACGAATAGTAACAATATTCGATGAGCTACATATCAGTTTTATTTTATTTTTTTCTTAAAAAAAGTAATACTTCTCTTACCCAACAGCAGCTATATGTGTGCCATGACCATTTTGCCATGCAAATTTGGGCTTATCACCAATTTCTTCGAAACTAATTGCAAATAAGCGCTATAGAAATAATATAAGTATTTTTTCTGTAATTAATATTGTATTTTTATTGAGCAAAAATCATACTTTAGGTGAAGCTGCCATATTGAATAGGATATATGTTTTTAATTCGATAGGATAAAATAAAAAAGTTCAACCATTCATTAGTTCCATATTGCATAGTTACTTAGCAACCATATAACTTCCAATGAAAATGATTTGTATAAAAAAATTAGGCAAAAAAACGACAATTTTCATTTTATTTTAATATTTCTCTTTAATTTTTGAATTCATTTTTTTGTTAATGATAAACAAAACTTGCACAAATGTATTTATTACCAATGAGTCATTGGCGTTCCTCCTTGTGCATGTAGCGTTGTCGTCGGTTTGTCCAAACGTCGTACGTAGGAAGGCAAGAAGTATTGATGTAAGCATCACCATTTTTCATCTTACATCATAAATTTTTTTTCAGATTACATCAAAAACTTTAAAATTCAGCAATGTCTGCCGTTCAACGCAGTCTTTTTGATAGAATTGCAGCTGAAGGTGTTCACGTAAGTTTACTGAATGTAATTGATTTTTACGAACAAGGTTTCTTTTAGTTTGCATTATGGACATCAATTATGAGTGTTGGTGGTGGTTTAGAAGAAATACTTGTGAATCATGATGCACGTGTGAGTATTTCTGGTGAACATGCCATACCAGAACTACTGGAAACATACAAACGATCTAAAGTTTTAACAAATTTATTGTTATTTATAAGTGGCATTTCAGGTGCATTCGCTTATCAACAAACAAAAGATAAATATTGGCTTGTTGGTTCAGGTTTAATGATTGGTAAGTTACTGTGAAATAAAAGAAAAAAATTGTTTCATCGGAAGCAAAATATATCCGCGTGTTATTTTCTTTTACAGCTGGAATTCCATATTGTGCTTTGCTTGAAAGTCCAGTTGCTGAACAATTGAAGTATCTAACACTTGATGCTAAATCAGAAAAAGCGAGATCATTATTAACTTCGTGGGGAAATATTCAACTTGGTAAATTAGCACTGGCTGTTGGAGGAGCTAGTGTGTTCTATTGGTTTGCCCGTCGCTAAATCAGGATGATATTAATAACAGTTGATTAATCAAGCAATTATTTTATTATTATTAAGATGAATCCTACGATTGAATAGTATACTGTACTTAGTTTGGATAAATTGTGTTTTTTTACATGCGAATAATCAGAGAATTCTTTTTGTCCTGGTGATATCATAATCATTGAAGAAAACAACGCTTTTTATTCATGACACTCATGGTCTTCCTTTGATTTCAGATTTTGATCGCAATTATTAGCTATGATAGCTGGTATTATTGATTCACTGAATGATATTAAGTAAGGAATTTTTAATAGTTCTTTTTATTGAAAGTTCGACTATCATTTTGAATCGATTGAGTCATGTGAAAAGTCGAGAAAAATTGTTTTCAATGACTTGATGTTCAAGAATGAAATGATAAATTGAATTTTCGTCTTTATTTTGTAGTTGATACTTAATAAAAAAAAAGAAAAACCGAAATATTGTTCAGTTTGGAAACTTGTAAAGAACAGTTAGAAAATATTTTTCATTTATAATAGATTGAAACTATAGTTTCGATTTAGAATAGTGTATATTATACTAATCTCAATACTTTATATTGAACTAGTAAACGATGTATGTGTTGATGTTAGCTGTTGTTCCATGAAAGTTGATTTCGAACCCACCATATTCAAATCGCATGATATATTTATCAGATAGTGAGAATACAATGGAGAGACTATGGTAAAATTGTTACTTTGATACCATGATGTTTTTTCTGCGTGAAATATTCAAGGAATAAGAGTACAAGAAATTTAATTTAACAATCGCCTCTTCTCTATGAGTCCTTGTTATATAATATTTTTCTTTTGCTTAAAAGAGCACATAAAGCTAGAAAATCCGATAAAGGTATGTTTGTAATATTCTTATTTCTTTTTGCTAAATGAAAAAAATTAACAAATCTTTGAAGTCTAGTTGAGATTGGAAGCTTTTCATCAGACACAAACGTAACAACTTAAACAAAAAGATCTTTTTTTCAGGCTCGATCGAATGACATGCTCTTTCAGATAAACGAGAAAAAAATGCAAAATTTATGTAATGATAGTCCACAGAGAATTGCAAGCTATTAAATTAACGTTTGTCAAGGTTGTTTGATTAATATTTGATGAAAAAATTGTGACATCGAGCTGAATAGTTTGTAATAATCTGTCTCTCTCTCTCTCGTTTAGTATCAACATATCTTGGCAGTCATTTTCAGACATATAAAATGTAAACAACATTGTAGAGTATCAAAGCCAGTAATTCTTGTTGTTTAGTTTTATATTTTAAAGATTGAATCGGAGTAAAATACTTTCAGTCTTGAAATGAATAGTTACAACTGTGATGAAGATTAATAAATGAACAAAGTCTTCGTGAGAATCTGTTAAATTATTTAAAATAAATAGAACTACTAAGAAGAACTTTGATCTCATTTGTTTTTTTCCTAAAAATCTGATCTTTACATCTTTGGAAGTTGTTTACTTTTCGTATTAATAAACTAGGTTAGAATTTGATTATCAAAGAATTCATATATAGTATTACTTGCTTTTCTTTATAGTTATAATGGTGAACTAAACGACGACATTAAGTTAGAACAAGCTCTTACAACAGATTTAAAATCAGAAGGATTTCTTCCATATGCAAAATTAATAGCATGGCTAACACAAGAATTAAATGGATTCTATTCAATCGGAGAGTTCGTACAAGATATAAATTGTGTGCACTAGCTGATGGAGATCCTTCATTAAATTAATTAAAACTTTTTTTTTCTTTTCTGTTTTTAGCGATCAATGATATATCCAGCTTTTTACTTGAACTCGGTGGTTTTCTACGAGATTATGGTTGTCCTTATCAAAATCTTGTCAATAGCGACAATCGATTAAATGATCGTGTATCACGTTTACAATTATTAGGTTTATCTTCATTTGATTTTAATAATATCATCATCAGTTGTGTATTGTTTTAGATTTCCTGTGTACAGAAATTCAAGCAGCTAAAATGAACAAATGTTTTAAACGAAATGTAATAGCCACTGGAATAGAGAGTACAACGAACAAAAAGGTTTTTAGTTCTTTTTTTCTTTCTTATTGAACTTGAATAAATTTCTTGTTTTATTTAGCAATATGAAAGTGACGAAGCTCGAGATCTAAAAGCATTACTTGTAGCTCTTGGTTTTCCTCGTCCACCTGATGGAATAACAGCTGGGCAAATATGCTCAAAAGTTTATGGGAAAGTTAGTGAAGTATTGAAAACTTTATCGCCAAATCATCTGGGTCGACCTTTATTAAAAATGAATATGTCAGAAATTCAATGGAAGCAAATGCATAAAATAAATAAAGTTTTGTATGATGATTATAAAACTCGACGAGAATTGTTACTCAAACGACTTGATGTCACTATTCAATCATTTAAATGGGCTGAACGATTAAAAGTACGGATTAGCGAGCATTGTATTAATAAATTATTTATCTTTAAATATGAATTTAGGATAAAACAGATGAAATTGCAAATGTTTTCATGACTAGACGTAAAGCATTAACAGCTGAACCAAATGTACGTATTGAAGATATTATGGCTGCTCGTGAAGGTAAACGTTTTTTAAACCAATTTTACATTTGAAATTCTGTTTTATTATTACTACTGAAGATTTATGTCATACGGAAAAAACATGTGGTACAAAAGAAATAGCAACAACTCGTTCAAAACTTCATAAAATTTTAATGCCAAAAGTAAGATAGAATTTTATCTAGAATTGATTGTAATCTGAGAAATATGTTAATAAAAGAAAATATTTTTTAAAAGATTATTGATAGTGAATAAAATTTCTGTTAGGAATGTATGAATAACACATCGATGCGCTTTGTTTTGATTATTTATTTATGCATTCTTAATGGCTGTTTTTTGTTTTGCTAAATAAAGTAAGATAATAAAAAAAACGTATATTTCACGTTATTTAGGTACCCGATCGTGGTGGACGAACAACAGAATTGCAAGCACCCCCTCCAGAAATGCCATCATACCAACGAGGAGGTTCTGCAGGTGGTGCACGTCGTGGTGGAGGTGGTCAACAACATCAAAATAATGAGCAAAGGGGTGATTTTAATAAAGAAATTATACAAAGTTCACTTTAGAAATTTATATTTTTATTAAGGTCATCGAGGAGGTGCAGGATGGTCGGCACGTGGTGGTGGTGGTGGTGATAGACCTCATTCTGGTGGTTATCAACAACAAAACTATGGAGCAGTTGATCCTCATATGCAGCCGTATCCGCAGATGGCTTATCAAGGTCAACAACAAATTGTAAATGAATATGCTGGTATGGATCATAGTGGGAATTATGGTGGACGTGGCCGTGGAGGACGAGGTGGTCGTGGTGGTCGTCGGCCATATTAAATAATTCTACTGTTCCGGCTACGTTTTAGTCATATTTTTCAATTTTTCATATCAATCTATGGAATATTTTGAAGGATAATCTTCACACTACTTTTATTGATTTATTTGTTAAAACTGACTTGGTTGGTTCCTACAACTATTTGTTTTCTTGCTGTTTTTTAGATGGTTAAATTAGAGCCGATAAAACCGGTTATCCGTTCTCGTTCATCATCATCTGATAGTGACTTCGATGATCTAAATTCAACGTCATCATCTGATTCTGACTTGTCCCTTATTGAAACATCTGCAACGAATTCATCAAAGTCTTGTCAGAAACGTAAAATCCCTACGTCTACACATATTATTCCTCAAGGTACATCAATTCGTGATGTGAATAATAGTTTATGGATGATACATCAATGTGTTAAAGTTTCACATCATAATGAAAGATTTATTTATTTATGTAGTCAAGTTAAAAGAACATCCAATGTACATGAATTAAAAATATTAGAACAAACTGAACAACAAAATATAGTTAAAACAAAGATATCACCATTGATGTATTTAACAGATAAATTAAAACAATCAAGACAAACTGTAATTGATAAAGCGCGTGCTGAGAATGATAAACTTGATTATATTTTTTATGGAGCAGTTATTGGAGATACGAATAAAGAAATTGAATTGATTATTTCGAATAACGAGAAGTAAGATACAAATTTGATTTATCCTACTAACACAAAAAAAAATTTTACTGATTCAAATATTTTATCCAAATATCTATGTTGAATTTATGAGAGAATATCATTGTTTGATTTACATAAAAATAGTTCATAAGTGATTTAAGTTCGATCAATCGAGCTGAAACAATTATCTCTATTTGAAGAGAAATCTTTCTCGGCAGGAAAATAATTCATAATTGTAGACTTAATGTCATATTTTATTAATGCACATTGAGAAAATATTCGTTAATTTAGAGAAAAAGCAACATTGTATTTAGATACGAATTCGAATCGATTTAAATTGGATATATAAGTTTAAAGAAGAAATGATCTTTTTCTCTAATAAATGTTTATAAATGAAAATAAGATTTTTTTTTCTTCCAAAAAATCATATGTAACAGGACTTAACAGACTGTAATAAATTGGTTGACATTTTTTGTTAAAATATTCGAATGAAATTTGAGATTTTAACATTTCATCTACTAAATCTGTTTCTTGTGGAAATCTCAAAGATTTAATTCAGAACAAGAGACTTAGATATTTTTACGTAGACACTCAACATTGTTAAAGCTAAAAAAAATAGCTATCATATTTACAGTCGATCATTTCTATAGAGCTCGAACGTTAACATTTAACCGAAGTTTGAATTTGATGAATACCTTCAAACAAGGTTTATCTTTCATCTTTTTGTATTTATAATATTTTAAAAGATTAATCTTTTTTCTTTTAGACAAGCAATCGCGTCAAATAAAAATTCGTTAAATAACAAGTTCTTATCTTCCTCAGCAAATGATCAAAATTCAAATAAAATAATTCATGGTATCGTTGAGTTTCTAAAAGATGATGATACATATGATGAAAATAAAATAAATAAATATTCTATTGAAATTATATTTGTACAAGATAAAAAGAAATATAATTCAATTGCAAACCCATCTGAATTACTTCAACAGATTCTAAAAATAGAAATTAAAAACTTAAAAGAAATGCGGAGAAAAAATTTGATTATAAATAATAAAACAAATGAAGATCTTCATAAATTTATTATAACAAAGAAACCTGGACATACTCAATATGATATTCAAGAAAGTATCAATGACGAAGGAGAAAATCTTTCTTCTCCGCCTTCTTCTTCATCAGTTGAATCTTCTACAACTAAATATTTACTTAAGCTTGAAATTAATACACCATCATCATCATCATCATCTAAACAATATACAATTGATCATGAAATCGCATTTTATTCTCGGTTTGCAACACATGAAAAATTAAAATCTTATATAAAACGACATAATCTTATGTATATCGCCATTCCTGAATATATATCACATGGAACATATAAACATTTGAATTTAACATATAAATTTTTAATAATGGAACAATACCGTGAAAATCTTCGTTCACTTATTTATTCCTACGATCAATCATTACCTGAACATAATGCATTAAATCTATTTCTACAAATGCTATATGTTATACAATTTATTCATGAAAAAAATTATGTTCATCAAATAATTAAACCAAAATATATGATGTTCGCTAATAAACAGCCATACTTTATTTTTTTAACACAATTTCGAACTGTTAAAAGTATACATGATACAGATAGTCGATCAAGTAAATATTTTTCTAATATTTAGTTAACGTATTTAGAAAAAAAAACTGTTCTGTGCAATCTATTTTACGTTATCATGATTCGCGTAGTTTTATTAGGAAATTAACAGCTCCTTGGCATTTAACTTCGATGAAACTCAGCATATAAATTATGTTTCATTTACATTCAGAATAGAAAGTATGCCAAATATTGTCGCTTGCAAGTAACTACTTGAGAGAACGTAATTTTTCGAAAATGAAAACTGTCAAAGTTGAGTCTTTTGTTTTCATCATGAGAAAATAACTCAAACCGTTTTTTCTAAAATACATAAAATTTCACTGAAACCATCGTCTTTTAACCGATAGATTCAATGTGACTTAGGTGCAACTATTGTATTTACACAGAGGTCTAGATTGTTTAATTTTTCTAATTTTTCAAAGATAGTCATTGGTATGAATATTAGTATGTGATAAAAACGTTGTTGTGTAAACTATTTAGAATTTATTACTGTTTCAAAAATAGATGGCTTATTTATATATTCTATCTTGAATGTTCGATTCATCACTTCGTATTTATTGCTCAGGAATCACACGGCTTTTCAAAAATGTCAATCATTTTTGTTGCTTCCATACTATTTGATTAATGTCAAGTAGATAAGCTATAACAATGTCTATTTATATGATTGATATATTCATGTGAAATAATCAAAAAATTCCAAACTATGAAAAGAAAGTAATTGAAAGAACTGGCTTGAGAAATAAAAAGGAAATCTTCAATTTTCTTTTAATTCTTTAGATAAAAATTGTAAACGAAAAAAAGAAGAAGACGAAGCAAAACTTTTCTTAAAAAATGAGTAGATTTATCATTGAAAACATCATTTACTATAACTGTCCCAGCACTACAGAGAATGCTCGTTTTTCTTCATCTGAGATATATGCTGTTTTAAAAAGATTACTAGTAAAAATCTGATTCATTCGTTTTTTTTTCAGAACGTGAATTGTTATCTAAAATAATGAACACTTCTTTCACTTCATTAAAAATACTACTGATAAACATTTTTGGTTAAAAACTGTATAGATAGAAACTATTTTTTATCATAATAGATTAGAGGATAGCCTTGTGAAAATATTCAATGGCTAGCGAACTCAAGTGTACAGAAGTAAATTCAATATTATACAATTGTATTAATTGAGTATTGAAACTATTATTAACATACATGTTTGCTTCTTTAATCTTAGGTGAGGTTCCAAATGAAAATCGTCCAATTACAGCCAATGAAAATCAACTTGTTAAACAACAAAATTATCAAGTTAAAAAGAAAGTAAAACGTTCACATCGAACACAATTAGCTGCTATACACAATAAAACATTATCCGTTGTTCCATCACCACTACTTGTTATTGATGTTCCAAGTCCTACAATTGAAGAAGATAATCTGTTAATAAACGCAAATTCATATCATCATCCATTTAGTGTTTATTCTTCCCTTGATATGCATCTTAACGACAAGCAAACCTATCGCGGTGATTTAGAAATGCTTGGTTATAATTTAATTGTTTGGTCTGGCGGACGATTACCATGGGATAAGAAAAATAAAAATGTTCATTTTAAACTACAACGTGATACAATAACGAATGAAAAAAAATTAGCTAAATCGAATGTTAATGAGTTTGTTAAAAAATGCTTCTTCATGAAGTTAATATCACCTGTTACATTACGTGCGATTTGTGATTACATGTCAACTGTTTATCAATTGAATATTGACGATATGCCTAATTTTGATCAGTTACGTGCACCAATCAAAGAAATTGTTAAAGCATTAGGTTTTAAAGTTAGTTTAGTTTTCAATGAATCTATTTTATTGACAAATCTAAATAATGGAATTCGATTATCTTATCTTATATTTTCTTTTCTTTTCTTTTTCAAGGCAAATGCATGTCTTCGTTTATCAAACTCAAAATCAAAAGCAACCAACACATCGAATAGTACAAATAAGAATGTTTTGAATTCTTCTACTAATACACAAGATGTTAAAACTAATGGAAATATTAGCAAGCATATCAATATTAATGATACAACATCACCAGTAAAAGAGCTTGAAGTTGAACAAGATGACCTTGAAGATGATGAAGATGAGGATGAGGATGATGACGACGACGATGACGATGATGATAATGATAATGACGATGATGATGAAGAAGACGAAGAAGATGAAGAGGAGGTTTATTATTTTTTGTAGAATGAAATCAATTTATAAAAAAAAAACCAATTTGATTCTTATAGGGTCATCCATGTCCACCGGGATCAAATTCATGTGACGATGAAGATGATGATGACTCGAGTGATGAAAATAATGACGATGATACACAAATGGAGCAACAAGCTCCATCAATTCCAAGTCATGCAACAAAAACTAAATGTAAACGTTGCGGTGGTGATCATTCACTTGAAGATCAACAATCTCAAACAAGTAGCGATAAACAAAGTAATAGTAGTACTGGTCCAGGTACAAATAATAATAATAATACTCTTACTTATCAACAAAAACGGCAGCGATCAATCGCTAAACGTCTTCAGTTACGTCGTAAAAAGAAAAATTAATTTTTCAAAAAACTAAACCTCAAACACCGATGTGTATATACGTTTAGAAAAAGCCATAAAGAACACATTCAATTTTATTATTTGTCTGAGAAAAAGATAAGTTTTGTTTTTTGATGTACATGTGTGGTATAGGATTCAAACAACGATAACATTTGTTCTTAATTTATTTCCTTCAGTGTGTGCGTGTGTGAACAGTCCATCACTATTTACTTTCTGAGTTATTCTTTTGTTATGCGCGATGATTTATTTTATTTCCTTGTTTTTTTTTTTTCGGTCGGTCCGATATTTTATTTGTGATAGACCTGTCTTATTGTTTGTCTTTTGTTTTATCTATCTTTTCTTTTATTCTAGTTGCTGCATGCATGAAAAAATTATTTAAGTAAAAAGCAGAAAGCAAAGAAATCAAAACATACACATGCTATTGTTTTTTTTAATTATAGATAGAAAATAAAAAGTTGAAAAGATTTTTTTCCTCTGTTTTTCTCGGGAAATTATAATGCTAATTATTGATACATGTAAACATCAGAATAGATAGACTCTCAAAATCCATTTAAGCGAAAAGCTCTCCAAGATCTAAACAAATCGTTCACTAAGAAAGATAATTATTATTTAACAATAAAATAATCGAAAAAATTGAATATCATTTAGAAATCGATCGCATATAATGCATATTAAATCAATCACATAGGTGATATGAATTCTTTCGCTAAAGGTGAATGAGAGTTGTTTTTGCATCGAAACATAATGATTTGTATGTCGAACAAAATAAATTGTTGTTTTAAATATTAATTACTACTTCAATATTTTGATTATCCAAATTTATTATCACGTGAATGTGATGATGTAATCGTTAGTTACATCAATTATTATTCAATAAATTAAACAAATATAATATTCAGACAGAAAAACTGTCAGATATTTGTTATATATTAAGAATTGTAGGATCATCGAAGATACTTGTCAGAAATCAAGCGATTTACAATGATAAGAATTGAAATAAATGCCATTTTACTCAAATAATAAGATGATAAAGATCTAGAATTCAATTAACAACACGTATTTTAATCCGTACCAGATGTTCACAAAATCTTGTTCAAAAGAGCGTAATTCCGAAGTATTTGCGTAATCTTCTTTAAATACACTATAAATGTTAGTTTTATCTAATCTTTCATTTATATCCTTTGACATTATAAACAATAATCAAGGTCATTGTCACTTTGAACTACACATAAGAACATTTGTACACATGAGATTATATATATATATATATATCTTAGATGTAGGAAGATATTTTAGAAAACAACATTGATTGGACTATAAAAGTTTAACTGGATAATTCAAAGAATTGAATTCATGACAGAAAACAAAAATATATTGTTGAGATTTACATCATCGAGGGAGAATTTTCGATCTAGAGTGTAGAAAATTTTACAAAACAAATTTTGCATTGATGGTGTGTCACTTGTGATGGTTGAATTCTTGAAAGTCAAAATTCAATTTGTCCAATGAAATATTGTGCTTTAAGATAACTACGCAGATAGATTATAACTATGCTTTTGAAAACTAAAATGTATCGGGGAATTTCGCATAATGAACAATTTGATGACATTTAAATTTAATTTACATAATTCAATATCACAAAAATAAATTGTTTTTAAAATTTTATTTTAATATTGGATCTACTGACTGACTGTGAAAAAAAAGTCTTGACATAATATGTTTGCTAATTCATTTTTTCATTAATATAATATACACCTGAAGTTCTTTTGATTGTTTTTAGGGAAGAAAACTTATTTTAATCTTTGATTTTGTCAAAAATTTGATGGTCTATAACATTTTGAGTTATAAACTGAATTCCAATACAATCTACAAAAAATGTGAATAGAATTAAAATTTGAAAGTTTTGATGTAATCAGCGTTTTCGTCAATTGTTAGCATCGTTTTCATAGTGAATTCTCTTATAGGCAAATAAATTTTCCAAGGAAATATTATTAAATAAAAAACATTATGATCACAAATAAATAAATACAGTGAACTCTAAACAATTAATAGTTCATAGTTGAAAAAATGAGCAAATATTTTTTGTATGAAAACCTTTACCTGGAAGGTTACTTTATCGTTACGAAGACTAAGATAAAAATAAAATGACATGATCATAGGTAATAAATAATTGAAGTAAAGTAAAATATTATTAAATTTAGATACTATTTCCATATAAGATAATCAACATAGAAGAAATCATTAGTAAACAAGAGTTCAAACTACAAAAACTTAACATCATTCACTTTATGTTAATTACCGATTTCAATAATGCCACACTTTAAGCTATTATTTTAATGGTTAACAATTTTCTTGAAACTGATTTTATATTTTTACTCTGTTAAAATCGGTAAGGATTGTATTAATTCGACAGCATATATATTATACTTGCATAAGAACTTTTCTTTTATGGTAATCGAAATTATTAATCTTAGCATTAAATATTTGTTCAAATATTGAAGTTAAGAAATCAGAGAATATATAGAAACCAACGAAAGTATCGGTTTTCTTGGCATTAGTCATCAATTTATTGATTCCATGTAATCTTAACATACTTATTCTTATTGATATAAATTATGAGTGGTGAATAAGGATTAATACATCCTACATGGGTTATATCTACTATTTTATATTCCGCTTATTTTTGAATTAGAGTACATAGCGTCTGTAATGCAAATCCGTGTTAGAGAAGAATCACGTAAAAATATTATATTTCTTGTCTCTCCTATTTCAATAGAAATAAATCATATATTTTGTCAACATCTAAGTTATCTAGATTCTATAAGATATTTTGAAGTGACTTACGTGTAGTCAAAAGTCAATGGTAAAATATACAGGGTTGCTAGTTTTTCTTATATTTTGTCTGAGTATTCATAAATGTGTCACGGATTTGACTGGTGTACATTATTTAGAAACAATCAATTGCTCGTCGCCAATATTAAACATACCACAAGGACCTTATTTATTTCGTCATCATTGGCCATTTACTTCCATATCTATTCAATATCAAAAACAGCTTACTAGAGGTGAATGTTATCGGGATGGTTCTCTTCATTTTCTTCTTAGTAATAATAAAATATGTTCTGGACTCTATTATGGTGGAAGAGCAAAACTCTTATGTCAATTTGATAATAATGAATACTGTCTCATTAATATGAAAACAATCGATGGTGACCGATTAACATGTATCGGATCAAAAATAAAACCGATGACATTTGTAACAGTTCTATGTTTTCTTCTTATATCCTTCATTTTCATGAGAATTGATTGTTCATACAAAAGATGAAGCATTGAAATATATTATATTGAATTGTATGAATATTTTCTTTTTGAAAATTTTTAATTCAAACTTTTAATAATAAATAATCACTTAAACATAGATTGATTCATTATGTTGGAATAAATTTCCGTTGATATTACAATTGAATGAAAACTTTACCACTATACTATTGAATATTGATAATCATAGTATCAACCTTCTTATCGCATTTTCACATTCTTGTGCTTGAAAATATGCTCCATGTAACCTTGATATTTTCTTCTACTCTTATTATATTTACATAATTCATTATGAACTTACTTACCTTACCTTTTCCTCATGATCATACTGTGTCCTTGAAAGGATTCTTCTTGTTTTACTTGCATTAAAAATTTCGTTGACTTCTGCATACAGCAAGACTAAATATGTACATTATAATTACCAAAGGTTATCATTACTACTCTATTTTTTACGATATCATTGCTTTTTTTCTTAGTAAAATTTCGTTTACTTTGTTAATCCTTACTTTAGGGTGGTTTTGAACGTGCATTAATATTCATCTATCAACGTCATAACATTCCTCGTTGTCGGAGCATGATAATCCATACATACATACATAGACATACATACAAAAGACATAGTCATGACTTTATACGTCAAAGAGGATGATACAATAAAGAGAGAAAGAAAAAGAAGACCTTCGATTAAGAAGGCGAAGTTCAACAAAAAAAAAATGTTGATCACATATAAATATTCGATGAAAACTTCAAATGATCGTTTGATTTCGAAACTACTCGATAGAACTATCTTCGTTACTTACAGCACTACTAACAGATTTCGTAATGTTACCCATACTGGTTGTGATCTTTGTCAGCATGGGTGTTAATTCACTACCATCTATCAATTTTACAGACACTATATTATCAAATCGAATGATCGAAGCATTAAATGATATTCTTGTAGCTAAAGATGGCTACCAGGTAAGACCATTTGATCAACTCCGGCAACAACTAAAACAACAAGCATCGAATATCCCTCAATTGGGAGAACCACAAGAAAAATTCTACGTATCTCAGTTTCCGGACGAACAACAACAATTTTATCAACCCCAACTTTCAGAGCAACAAACATTCTATCAGCCTCAAATGCCTGATAACAAGCCACAGCAACCATTCTACCAACCTCAAATGCCTGATAATAAGCCACATCAGCCCTTCTATCACCCTCAAATGCCTGATAACAAGCCACAGCAGCCCTTCTACCAACCTCCAATCTCTGACAACAAACCACAACAGCCTTTTTATCAACCACAATTTCCAGAAAAACCACAACAACCTTTTTTTCAGCCTCAATTTCCAGAGAATAAACCCCAGCAACCTCCTTATCAACCCCAATTTCCCGAAAATAAACCACAACCACCTTTTTATCAGCCTCAAATACCAGAGAATAAGCCACAACAACCTTTTTATCAACCACAATTTCCAGAGAATAAACCCCAACAACCTCCTTATCAACCACAATTTCCAGAGAATAAACCCCAACAACCTTTTTATCAGCCCCAATTTCCAGAGAATAAACCACAACAACCTCCTTATCAGCCACAATTTCCAGAGAATAAACCACAACAACCTCCTTATCAGCCACAATTTCCAGAGAATAAACCACAACAACCGTTCTATCAACCACAATTTCCAGGAGAACAACCACAACAGCCATTCTATCAACCCCAACAACCTGATAATAAACCCCAACAGCCTTTTTATCAACCACAATTTCCAGAGAACAAGCCACAACAACCATTTTATCAGCCTCAAACCCCAGAATATCAACCATCACAACATATGCAGCAATCTATTCCACAGCATCAATTGCCTGCATCTCAACACCAACAAAATCCTCAATATTCTGATTCGCAAGGTAATTTTAACATAGTTTCAATTTAAAAAACTTGAAATGTTTTACTTAGGCTACTACTATCCGTTTCAACATCAGAATGTCAACTGGTACAATTTTCCTAGCCTTTGGACGTCTGTGGCTAGTGCTAAAGTTGATCCAGCAGCAACATCTGCTAGTAATGCTGATCAGGCATCCGATTTAGGTACTAGTAGCGAATGCCCAGTAGGTTTATGTCCACGTGGTGCAAGCTGTTCCCAACTATCAGGCCAATGGCAATGTGGATGCGGTGCAAGTGGTTGCCTTGGAAGTAATATATTTCTTTGTTTTTATAACCCAATTAAAAATTTCTATCATACTTATTTAGTTGAGAAAATAGTTAACTTTTTCACTACCAACAATAGTAACTGACAAGGATGCTTCTGAAAGTTTATCAAAAGTGATGATCTTGTTAACTAGCGGGCTGCGTAGGATTCAAAGAACAATTTTTCAATAAATCAATGTTGGAAGAATGTCTACAAGCATATAAGAAATAATATGAAATTGAATACATAAAAATACCTTAGAAACGAAGCAAAATCTCATCTTATTTTCTTTGTTTTTTATGTTGTTTTTGATAGTTTCCACCGAGTGACATTTCATTAGTAAACCAGCCATTTAAAAAAAATAATGAATATCTTTGAGCGGTCAATAGAACAGATTCAATCTTTTCATATTTATTTATCAGAATCAAACAATCCTTTTCATGTATGCATTCAAAATCATTTAAATAAAGCTTGCGTTAATAATATAATCATATACACGATGTGTTTATAGTTCTTAGAATTTCATCACACTAGATCTTCTTTTCTTTAAAAATATGATTTTGAAAAAGTGTATTCTTCTTCTTCATGAATAAGATCTAAATCATTATTTCCTCGTGACTGTATTCATATTGTTTATGAATACGAAAAACTAGACAACTGTTTTCTTAATTTTAGTCCCAAATCCATGTGGTATATACGGTCGATACTATTTTCCTTATTATCCTGATGCATCACGATTTATTCAATGTGATCAAACTGGTGTTTTCTGGATTCGTAAATGTGCTCCTGGTACTATTTTTGATCCTAAAATAGAAGTCTGCAATTATCCGCCTGTTGTTGTTGAAACTGGCAAAAAATAAGAACAGAAAAATTCTTATAATAAGAACACTTTTGTTTGTTTCTATCTGTTTTCGTTTAATGTTTTTTTGATTCATTGTTCATGAAATAAAGCGTAGAGTCATAGTTTCTCATGAAAATAGGTTATTGTTATGTGATTTTGACTAATCCACGAATGAATTAAAACAACGCAAAACATTGTATTGAACTATCCCAGTATTCTAGCAAACTAATGCATAAATTTACATATACACATATACTTTATGTAGCCAGGTGACATTTGGAAATGTTTTTGTATTGAATTCTAATTAAAAACATGAATATGTTTTTCATATTTGTTTTAGAATTCTTCTCGATTGATTAGTGTTATTTGTTTCTCAACCATGCACCATTTTTTGTTTTATTCTTGCAAAGAAAACTTATAGTATCATAATCCGAAAGACACTGCCGTCATTTCTTTCATTCATTCACTTATTTTTTTTTTGTTTATTGTTATATAAAGAAAGGTTGGTGATTGTTATGCTGATGGAACAGAAATCTATCACGACATATCAATCTCATAGTTATTATTCGTAGATAATATTCATTGAACACAGGGAAATCATGAAGAGCTCAATAACTATATAGTTAAGTTTCGAAAGCGAAAACAAATAAATCCAGTAAGTACAACAATACTTGTAGAAAAACTGCTAACAATCGTTGATCCTATTTAAGATCTCAACAAATATTTAAATCAAAAACTACAACGAGATCTTATAGGTTCAAAATTTCTTATCGTCGTTGTATTTGATTATTACAACAGTAAAATCTAGTCTGGCTAAGTAGATTGTATTTCAAATAAGCTTTTTTTTAAATGTTATATTGAAGAAAAGAAATAATTAATTTTTATTTTGTAAATAGCACCAAAGAAACATTTGATGCGCTTCCTTCATATATTTGAATTTTGTTTTTTTTTTGAGAAAAAAAGCAATCAACTTTTCAATTTTCTCAGATAAAACAAAGTAACAATGTGCACAATGTCACAATGTTTGCAAGATAGATATTGCGATTTAGATTTAGTATGGAATCTTTGTGCTCATTTATTCTTGCAATAGGCATGGTAAGAAATATTTACTCAAAATACTTTTTTTTCTCGCGGGTGAGAACTAGACGGGATTCAGCGTAAATCAACAAGTAAAACAAGTCTTTTTTCAAAAGTATTGTTCGGACAGAAAAATTTCATTATTATATTTTTCAGATATTACTTATAGCATTGTATCCACGTTTTCAACAAACGTAATCACTAGACGTATCAGTAGTTGATGTATATAAAAGAACTCAAAAATCATTAAAGAAAATTAAAAAAAGAAATCTCCAATAAGCATCAGACAGCATTTGCTTAGGGTATTCATCAATAGTCGCGATGCACCATTAAATTGACTTGATCTATATCAGGTAAGAAAGCAATAATAAAATTAATTTTTTTACCAATATTTTGTTCTATAATACAAGGTGAGTCAACAGTAAAGAGAGACCAACGGAAATTATTTGCTGTCTAATAAAATTTTGGCAGATCAACCTCAATTACAACAACAAGAACCGATTCCAATCTTCGTTGGGCCTTCACAAAAATCACAACTATACTCCATGGCATCCCAGTATAAACCTCCTACAGTATTCTATAATGGACCGTTCAAAAATAATCATACTGTACAGTCATCATCCTATGATATGCAAACAATGGATCAAACAATGACAAATAATTGTATACAATTTTAAGTTCTATATCTGTATTAAATCGATTGATTTGATTGATTTCTTAAAGCCTATGTAGCTCCATCATCATTGGGATCAGCAAATCCACTGCTTCAATTGTCGTTAGCATCACAACATCAGCACCAACAACAACATATGAATACATACTTTGATCAATCACAAGCAAAAAAAAAGAAATTTAGAAATCAACCTTCAGTTCATACCGCATATACCGATCAGTCATTTCCATTATACAATTCAAAAACTAATCATTCTAGTAAGTTTATTAAATTTGCCTTGAATTTACTACAACGATGAATATAAATATTTATATTTGTCTTTGAAAAAAGCTGGCAAAAATCGGCATGGCGCAACTACGGATGATGCACGTCAAAATAAAATGGCCAATGAAGAAAATGAAACTAAAAGCGATTGGGTAGGATACGTACTTTCATCTATTTCAAGTTTAAAGAAAAACAAATTACTTTAAGGTTGAATGGCTTTCTCAACCATTGTGTCTAGGGTTAACACGTTGTAGTGGTGCCATTTTATTTGGAGCGATGGGATTTCTTGCCTGTGGATCACTAGCTGGTCTTATTGCATCGATTGTTTTATATTCTCAAGGTTAGAAAAAAATGCTTTCTTTTTAGATTCATTAATTTAAATCCCGATATTTATTTTAGATAGTAACGCGAATAGTCAATGGAAACTTTTGGGTATGGTTATTTGTTCTATAATGTTAATAACAATCATTGCTACATTGCTTATATTTATCTGCTGTTATAAACATGGCTTTATGATTAATGTTGACGATGAAGATGATCCGATAGATTTATTCAGAAAATCAGATGGCAAACAATATGAACGACAGCAGGATACTTTGAGAAATTATAAATTTAATCCTGGTAATGATTCAACACCGATGCCATCTAATATACTTCAAGATGTTTCAACACCCAAATTACTTCATACACTAACTATTCAAGTCAATGATAAACAAACAAACACAGAAACAACAATTTCACAAATACGTCCAAAAGATTTCAATCATGGCGTATGGCCATTAAAGAATGCATATGGTGGTGTATCGTATCGTCCGCCTGTTCCGCCAAAGATGGCTTCTAGATACATTCAAGCAGTACCACATGAAATTGACGAAACACTTGAACCCCCACAAATTACTTATCAAATTGTCGCTCCGGCATCAGCAATTCCATCAAAAAACATTCTACCACGAATGATTCAAACATCTGATGACGACGAATCTGCTATTGAAACAACACGAAAACAACAACCAAATGTTGTTCGAGAAGCACAAAAACACAACATTGTTGTACAACGAAAAAATCGTATTGAATATGTTCATGGTGCACAACCAGAAACAAATCGTCTTCAGTATGATGATACTGACGAAGAAGAATCACAGCATATCCATAAGGCTGTAACTAATGGAAAACGACAACAACAACCACAGCAACATATCGAATATTTTGATACTGACGAAGAAGAAACAAATCATCAAGAGCAAATTGATGTTAAACACAAACAACCGCATCGTATCGAATATGTTGATACAAAGGAAGAACGGCCACATCGAATCGCTAAACAACCTCAATATGACGTTGTAGAAGATGTTATTGAAAGAGCAAGATCATCATCAATAGACGATATTGATGATGCCTCAAAAGAGGACAGAAAACGTGGAAGAAAAAAACATAAAAAGCACGGTGTTGGAAAAAAAGTTACCGTTAAACATATAAAAGCCAACAAATAAGAATCACTGAATACTATTGATGATTAAAATCCACAATCGTTTTGATACTCGAAAACATTTGTAATTTAAATTAATAATTATCTTTTTCTTTTTTTGTCTCTCTCTCTCTTTATTTTACTATGATCATTGCTGGAAGGCTTTACGAGTCAGACTCAAGAATAAATCAGTATTTTAATAAATTAAAATAGCACACGTTATAACATATATCTATTGTTAAAATTTTAAACAACATAACTAATACAAATCTAATTATAAGAAGACAATTTGATATTGTTAAAAGTATATTAATACTTTTAAGTTGATGATGATCATAGAAAAATATTCGAAATATTCAACAAATGAAGAAAGAAGAAAATAAGAAAAGAAAACAGTTGAAAAAGTATTGGTATACTTTTAACAATATCAAATTGTCTTCTTATAATTAGATTTGTATTAGTTATGTTGTTTAAAATTTTTACAATTTATTTAAAATCAATAAAATGTTCCACAATTTCAATTAAAAAAAACAGATCTATCATGAAGGTATGCGAGATTAACTTTGCTTTTTCTCGAACAATCTCGAACTATGACGTCATTCAAAGCTGATGCAATGTACATCGTGTCATAACGACACACGTATAAGATTATATTCCTGCTTCTCCCTCTCATCTGCACTATTAAGATAAAATATTATTCTGAAATGAACACTCTCGTATCCACTCGCATATTGGAAAACATTCTAGAATATTCTCAAATGATAAGTTGAGAGTATATAAAATGATCGTACTGCGATTGTTTTTTCATTTCTTTACAGTTCCTATCAACGCGCACATCTAGTCTAGTAATGACTTCATCTCGTATTATTTCACGTCTTATTGTACCGACTACTCTTAGTCGTCTAGCTACTTTGGGTAACATAAATGGTCCAGTACGTCATCTTGTCTATCGAAGTCCAAGAAATTTGCCTGGTGTATTTCTTGGATCAACATCAAATATCTTTCGAGATTTAGAAAGAGAATTTGATCGCATGCAACGACAATTCGATAACTATTTTCGGGGTAATGTGGCTAATGATAACCGATCATTAATAAATTCCTCACATGATAATATTCAGGGTGAATACTTTTCTAATTATTTAATTCTTCAACTCACATACTTTATTTTTATTTTCAGAAAATCAAACGATAATTACTGAATTAGATGGATCCAGAAAGTTTCAACTTACATTTGATATGAGGGGCTTTGAACCTGAAGAAGTTAAAATTAAAACACATAATGGTTCATTAATGATTTCAGCTAAGAAAGAAAAGAAGGTAATTGTATACCGAAATGTTTATTTAAATAAATTGACTTGAAATTCTTCGTTTCTTTTAATTTTAGGCTGGAAATAGTTATTCACTTCACGAATTCAGTCAAACTTATACACTACCAGAAGATCTTAAACTAGAAGATTTAAAATCAACTTTTGCAGAAACCGGCATTGTTACAATCGAAGCACCTCTACCTAAAGTCGAACCAAAAAATCGACAAATTCAAATTGAACATTCAAAATAAAACAGTTTTTTCCTGTGTATTTTTACCATACAAAATAACTATTTAAAATAGAATTACAAAAACAAAAACTTTGTTTTTCATATAAATCTTTTATTTAAGCAGTTCAGATAAAAACAAACATTTAGCGAAACTAATTGAAAGTTTTTTCAGATTTTTGGACATTTCGCAACAAAATAATCATTTAGTCTTCGGCTAACATTTGATAGAGCACTAAATATATCGTATGTGTTTTTCTTCTCAATGATTATATTCATTAACGAATAATAATTGATTTTGTTGGCTAACAATAACAAGTGATTGACTATTTTCTATTCTATGTACTTTAACATGATGTACAATAGATGTTGCTCAATTAAAATAAAATACTTCTAAATCTATTGTATCATCTTTAACGAGTAAAACAACATGTGCATCATCTGTACATCTCGATAGAATATTTTCATCTATTTCTTCAACACTTTGCTTTTGTTAAACGATTCACTCATTTTAATGTTGGTTTCTATATCTAATTTTTTTGAATTGCTGATGCATTTATATATATACAACAAATATATATTCATCATAAGTTGCTAGTAGTGAAAATTCAGTAGGGTTTTCATTTGACTAATCTTTTTATTAAATTTCTTGGCCAATGGATCAATATTTAACTCAAAAACATAACTGCGTATTAAATTAAGATAAGGACTTTGGTAAGATAAATAAGTAAAATTATCCACCGTTAATATGCCGAGTTCAAGTTTAAGTACACTTTGTTTTTGAGAGATTTATTTCGACTCATTAAACGCTGCTTGTTTGGATTTATTCTAAGTTAAAATATTCACAATATTTTCATTCGTTTGTTTTGCTGAAGTTTCACGATTTGATGAATATAATATTCTCTGCTATTTTTAAATGCAAAAATCAAACTTAATTTTCACAATAGACATTTAAGTGAAATCTTTCTTACAATGAATTGGTTCATTAAGTGATTTTTTGCATAAAAATCTGTTATTATGATAGCTTCATTAAGTACTCAAGGCAGAACTCACATCGACCAAAGTTTTAATCAAAATAAAATCAAAATAGTAGCTCACAATGATATTCAAAGTCAAATTCTCAATCGTTTAAATCACAATATGTTTATATATTGTCTTTTTATAAATAAAATATGAAGGGATTTTAGCAATAAAAAAAAGAAGATTTTATCATAATCAATGAAGGAAAATGTTGTTTTGTGATTTCCTATCGTTCCATTTTTTGTAAAGAGAAAAAAATCAACGCTGATAAATGATAATAACTCTCGCTCAATCTTTTTTTTTCAAATTCGAATTCATATATATGTATATACAGAAAGAAAAAGCAACACTTTTTTTGCTGTTATTGTTCAAGCATATCTTCTGTTGACGATGATGGCAATGGTGTTGAATTGCTATTGCTTGAACTACTATTCTCATCCGTAAGATTTGTTGGTGGCGACGATGATAATGATGGCTTATCTTCTTCATCTTCATCTTCTTCAGTCTCAGCTTCATCTTGTTCATTATCATTATTATCCTGTTCCATTTCATCATCTAATTGAGTATTTATTGCTGAACCGGCTTGACTTTCTTGACTTTCGATTACAATGGAATCATTATCATTTACAGTATGTGGAATTGCGAAGCCATTCGTTATTTGAGAATTTGAAGATGTTTCAGAGCTGTCCGCCATTGCTGATGATGTAAAACCATTTCGAGTTGTTTCAACATAAATTTTGCTTAAAAACAAATTCAATTAGTTGAACTTTTGGATATACGCTAGTTATCAACTGTATGAGAGAGGTGAATATCTACTATAGTTATCATTTTCAAATATAGATTTTCCAATGTGATGAATTCATCCATAGATTATACGGAAAGATCATATACAGATAACTATTTTAACTCTATCAACGACCTAAGGTCGATTTTTTCTAACAGATTTACTGTTCATCTAACTGACTCGAATAGTTGAAGAGTAGAATAATCATTCTGTTTTGAGAAACTTACTGAAATGATAATCATTAGAGAATATTAAAATGCAGTCTTCAAAATTCTATTTTGAGATTATGCTCTGATGATCTCCTAGATCAACCGATATAGTTCGAAAATAATTGAGTTTGTACAGAGAAAAATACACAATAATGACGGAAATAAAACAATTCGATTATAACGTGCTAGATAAATAGTTGTATTTAAAATTATTATAAAAGCAATTATACTTCTTATGAAAACAGTATACAAAATCGTAGAGCTACGAATAAAGCTTCACAAATTAGTTCTATTAGATATTTGATGTAGAAAAAATATTGCGTTAATCTCTTGTTAGGAAAGATTAATGTTACAACATTAATCTTTATTAAAAAATACATCATTAAATATTGTATTCAAATCAAACGAATAAAATATTTTCAAATATTTTCGAGTTTTTACTAACACGGAGTGGGGGTATCTTTTCGTTAGCATGTTGGATTACTTAGTCGTACTGTGATATACACAAAAAGTACGAAATATACAACAGTGATTTCCTTCTTGTAATATTGGTCAGTTTACTGTATGTGATTCGAATATAAAGTTTTTGTTCAAATTATATTTCGAACTTACTTTCCTTCATTGTCAATTGTTGTTACCACCGAAACACATTTAGTTAAACCACGTATAAATTTATCTGTTCTTCGATAATTAGCTCTTGGTGAAAGTATTAATTCACATAATCGCTGAATAGTAAATGGTGCACTAGAGAGAGAGAAAAAAAAAACTACAAAAATTTCATAATTAAAAGTGTATATTTACTTTTCAAATGAATTAATCCTTTCAATTATATCACTTTTTAATTCTTCAAATGTCGATTGATCAACGTTTGGATGCGTATCTAACTTGTCCATATTAGATTCTGTATTAAATTCATTAAGAACAACACTTAATTTTTTTAGATATAATGGTTTTATCTTTTCCCATGGATGACTAATAAAGAAAAATTAAGGAAAAAAATTCTCCAATTAAAATTCTACCTTGAATAACCAGTTTTAGCAATTTCAGTAAGAATTTGTTCTAATTCAAATGTTAAAACTCGTTCATCTTCAGGCTTTTTAAGAAATTCTAAATAGAAAAACAAATACAAATCAAAGAATAAGAAAAATCATTCATTTGAAAAAAATCAAAACTTAACAAATAATTAAAAGAAAAAAGAACTTACTATCGAGACTGTCAACAACAGAATTAGGTGATAAACTTGAGGTAACAACATCTTGTTCGTGCTCTTCTTCAGCTGTCTCCATCATCTGAACAAATACAAATGCAGAAAAGAAAAAGCAAGAAAGATTAAATTAACCGAATGCAAATGCATCTCTCATCTCATTCGTTCTGAATTCTCCAATAATAAGCTAGAACAGTTGATTCATTTTTATGTCTATATTTTATGCTATATTTAAAAAAAACTAGATAATGGTTGAATTATTAGGTACTTATTGTGAATATCCTGAATGTAATACACTTGATTTTTTACCTATTCATTGTATTCATTGCGCAAAGACATTCTGTAAACGACACGGAGCTGCTCCTGATCATTCATGTATATCTTTACTGCAAACAACTTCAATAAATTCGACGAACTCTTCATCATTTCTTCCATGTGCTAATTCAAATGGTTGTAAAAGTCAAAAATCTCCAATTAGTTTTACATGTTCGTTATGTTTGAAAAATTTTTGTGTTGAACATCGTCATATTGATGATCATCAATGTCCTCATCGTTCACAATCGCCACCAACACATTATTCATCACAAACAAATAAAACTGAAATAAAACCAATAGATAACTTTTTGAAAGAAAAATTTGTTGGAACAAAAAATGAAACTTTAGCAAATAAAGTAGCAATTATGAAATTGAAACAAACAGCTAAAGGACCAGCAGGTTTACCAATGGAAACTCGTCTTCATGTTTTCGTACAAATCGATGATGGTACTGCAAATAATAAACGATATCCGTTCTATCTTTCAAAACTTTGGCCATTAGGAAAAGGACTTGATTATTTAACGAAGGAATTAAAATTGTTACCAGCAACTCGTATAATTTTATTAGAGAGAGAACAAATTTCACTTGATTTATCGACAACTATCAATGATTTGAAAGAATTGCAAGAAGCTGATGTTATTATTTTAAAGAAAGTTTAAATAAAAACAAGGGTTTATTTATTGTTTTTTTTTCTTATTCATTTTTGAATTAATGTAAATAAACAGACTATAAAGACCAGTTAAGTTTTTCGATAAAAAATAAAATTTTCAATGAATCTTTGATTTAATAGTTATTCGGGGTTTCCATTTTTTTTATAAATGTAATTATCATCATGAGCTTCAGATTCAATATTAGCTTTTCTGTGATCTCATCGGAAATATTCTGATTGTCGCCTAATATTTTGAACGGCTCATTTTAAGAAACAGTACAAGAAAATCACTCGTTTATTTAAGTACTTTTCGATCAAGTTTCGTATCTACTGCATTTAAATCAGAGTCATACATTTTCCTTTTATTTTTGCAATTGAATCAAGATGAAGTTTTATAATCCGTTTAATATTATGCCACTTTCACTGAGATTCGTTGTTCTTTTCTTTCTTAACTGCTACTTCATCAGTTAGAAATTCTAATGAAAACAGCTTCTCAGCCCAGCCCCGTTGAGGTTAAAATGTGGAACTCATATATTTTGGGTAACTTAGACAACTTTGAAAGTATGTTCAGATATTTTAGTTCAACATTTTTAGTTAAATTATTCGTTTACTATTGGTATTATAGTTAAGAATAGAAATTAATTGCAATGTTTTGAATATTTTAATCGATTTAACAAAATACTTCTATCAGATACACCTAATAAATGTAATTTATTATATTTAGATACTTTCAATACGATTGAAATCACTAGTAGTAATTCTGAGTAATTTAAGCGTGATATTTATTAGTTTACTTTTTTATTTTTATAATTAAGTATAGTATTAATCAGCAGGCTAGTTCTACAATTATACATAGCATAATAGTTCTACAAAATTGAAAGAAACAAATCATATATTCTTTTCTAATTTATTGAGTGTTTAATCAGTACAATTTTGATCACATACGCTTTTAAATCCTTACGTTCAAACGATACTATTTAAATAGCATATATGAATAATAAGAATTTAAAAGAGTGGATAGCTTTTATCACCTTTTGAAAAATTTAATGATAATTATATAGACATATATATATATATATATATGGCATATTTTTCTTATAAACAATAAAAATAACGAATGTAGTCAGTTATGAAATAGTTTACAGACGATTCAATTCAATTTCAAAAGTAAGATTTTATATCTAACATGAAACTTATGTATTGATTATTCAGAAAAAATAACTGAGTGGGTGAAACTTAAAATTTCTTTCATTTAAATAACCGATAAACACTTTTGCAATTTTTTAATAAGAAAAAACTACAGTTAAATTAGAGCTTGATAATGTTTTTGAGGTTATTGGTATAAAATAATATTTGTAAGAAATGTTTCATATTTTATTTTTGATCTTGAAATAAAACAAATATGAAATAGACTTGATATTAAAATATTGTTCTATTATTAATAAAAATTGTTGGAAACAATGTTTAATGTTTTTAATCTATGATAGATAATCCTTAATATATCTAATCATAGTATAGTAGGCAGAGGTTGCTAATGAGTGTAATAGTAGCATACACTGGTCTCTATTCCTAGTTTCCATGATGGTAGTATACACTCCTTGCTAACGTTTGTAATAGTAAAAATATACCATACAGTCGTAACTATGGACTATAATAATAAAGACAACTGATTTCCAAGATTAATTAGAGATTAAAGTCTAAGCATAATGATTTCTAATTAGTGAAAATAGCAAGGGGGAAAAGCGGATCCATCAGGATCCAATAGGATTCAAAAACCTGATTGGAAAAAGGAGGAATTCGTCGTAGGATTTTCGAGTAAGAAGCATGAGTGAACTGATGAGATTGATATATTAGTGAATTCTGCTAGATTCCGATGAATTTTTCGACACTTAAAAATCAAGTAGGATGCACCGTAGGAGTATACAGCTTACGCTCATGCTCACGCTCATGAGCGTGAGCGGTATGTTCCTAAGTATTACTAATTTTATTATTTATTACCAGTAATAAAATTAAAAACAATTGAAACTAATAAGAGCAACAACTGAAAAGTAATAACGTGTAATAATTATTACCGTAATAAATACCGACCCAAAAATATTACTTAGAATTTTTTAGTATCTATTCAGGATGATTTCTTATAGCTTCTTGTGACCTACCGGGAGATCGTATTAGAAGCGTCCAGGATCAGACCAGAACTGGCGCCTATAGCTATTAGGAATCTACCTATAGGTGATACTCAGAACTTTTTAAGAATCACATAAGGGTAATACTTAGAAGTGTTTTCAGCCTGGTCAAGGGTGATACTTAGAAGTTCTAACGTCTCAGTCAGAGGGAGTAGTCAGAAGTTTTAGGACCTACCCAGGGGTGGCCCCTTTAGCTATTTGGGATCTACTTACAGATGATACCTAGAACTTTTAAGAAACCACCAAGGAGCGGTTCTGTACCTTTCTGGCCCTACCCCAGGATGACAATTAGAACTATGTGAGAACTTTCCAGGGCTGATCTGTGCAACATTTTAGTACATATATAGTGGCATCCCTTGTATTCTTCTGCGTAGTGTGGGAAGGGATTCTTATAACTTATTCAGTCGTAACTAGGGATGAACCGAGACCAACATTCATCAATACTGGAAACCGAGCCTAACCGCGAACGAGACCGAGACCAAAACCTCGGCCACGACGACTGTGACGGAGATGGGAAGTCTAGGTCTCGGCAGAAGCCTATTCGTAACTATTGGCAGTTTCTATAACTTTTTCAATCCTATATTAGCATCGTCTTTTTAACATGGCACTCTGCCCAGCAGTTATATCTTCAAACTTGAAGTACCATCCTTAGCGGTTCCGAAAAATTCATAAGAACAACCCTGAAGTAGATCCCAAATGGCTAATGGAACCATTCCAGTGTAAATCCACAACATTTACGGGAACCACCTCCAGATAGGATGTAAAAGTCACAGGGATCAGATCTAGATAAGACCTAAGGGACTGAAGGGGTTACCATTAATTACGGCCCAAATAATACTAGTGATTGAATGTAGGCAATCTAGCGATCGTAGACAAATCAGTGAATAGAAGTAATTCCACGATCAAGTTCTTTATTGCTTTACTTCTTCCTTATTACTTCATTAATTTTCCTGGCTTTTAGTTAGTATCATTAATTCGAAATAACAGTTATTACTTATTACTGGTAATAATAATGTGCTACCCCTACTAGACATATATAATAAGATCCTAACTTTGTTCCTTGGTAGTTTGTGGTAGTAAGATGAGCGAGTTTAAGAAACAAATATTCGGAAACTATGATTTTCCAAACTTTAATGAGCCTATTCTAGCGCTTATTATCAATTCATCGAGTAACAAGTATTTAGATGCATCGATTGAATATATTAGATAAGAAACTGTACGAAATACTATAATGTATTTTTATATGAATATAGCTAAAGTGGGTTCATTATTACTGATTTCTTGCATATTCTATTTGGAGAAGAAACGCTCACGCTTATCAGCACCCGTGACCGTGAGCTGCACACCCATAATCCAGCAGAATCCATGTTTTTTACATTGTTTGAAGATTGCTATAAAGCGAGTCAGTTTTTGGTGCATTGTGGTAGACTCCGACGTATTTAATAGATTGAAGGAGCTTCTAATAGATTTTCGTACACTTCAGTCAATCTATTGTGCAATCTAATACCGTTCATTAGGAGCAACAGGATCCAGGAGGATTCGCTCCCCTCTCCCTCTGTAATAACTTGATCAATAATTTATTTTTCATTTGTGTTTGCGTTTACAAATCTAGTAGTGTTCTCAATACAGATTTTCTTTTAGTTTTTCTTACCGTATGTTAATAAATGTTTTATCTCTATGTCATCATTAAAAACCATTTTAAGATTATGAAACCCTTCGTTTCTGAAATTCTTATCATGTACATCACTGTTCTATCATCGCTTTTTAAATAAAATAAATTGAGAGTAGTACAAAGATGCAAAACACAATATAGATCTCTGAGTATTTTACAAAAATCCATCAGAGTACTCATGAGTTCTCACGGCATTTTCTAGCGTGAGTACTTTTTGAGTAATCTCTTGATGAGTACATTCACTTAGGCAGTTATTTCGAAAGAATCGATTGACAATTTATCCATTTGATTTTCAAAGATTGAAATTTCAATCGATTGTTGGATTTTAATCAGATTATATTACAAAAAGAGGTAGCTTGGTTCGAGAAATCGGATTTGCTCAACCATAATCAAAACTAATCACGATTTTTCTGAGAGATATTTTTCGCCTTTTTAAAAGTTATTTACAGCAAACCCCTTACTTTTTCGCAAGCCAATGCCAAGACCAATGGCGATGCCGGATATGACAAGCATTGTTACTGCTGCTGTTGACAACACTACTATCCGCTTCCTGAAAGAGAAAAATAGACATCAAATAGATCATCGTTCTGTTCAAAAATAACTATTTAGAGAATGTATACTGTACCGTCATCTTGACTTTTCGATCACCAAAGGAGCCATAATCGATTAGGTGTGGGTGTACAGCAGAGACCCTGATATGCTGACACCCATACCCCAATCAGTGAAAAGTATGAATGTAAGCGAGCATGCCTAAAGTTCCTCTTAGAATTATATTCAGTCATTCTGATGTTACAAGCCTTTGCTTTTGTCATGAATGCTAGTGTCAGTATTACTGTTGTTTTTCTTACTTCTTAGCAGAAAGACCATTTATATGAATCATGTGTTGAAGGCAATGTTGAATGTTGATTTAAAAAAGGACGATTAGAGTGATAATTGAGGATCACTTGCAACCGGTGCTGGAAATTGAATTAACTGCACGTATGTACTGTGAACAAAATGCTCGTTGTTCTGAACCGATAATAATCGCTCTTAGCCAATGAAGGTTCTTGAAAATATTTTGCAAAAAAATAAAAAATAACACATTGCTATCAAATAGGGGTGGACCATTTAATTTAATACTAGTTAATTAAAACCGCTAATTAACGTAAACGTGCCATCTCTACTATCAAATATATCTCTCATACAATATGGCGCCCTCCATATGCGACAATTTCTATTGAAATTCAGAGAAAAGTTGTTTGACTATTGGTAGTATGTTGCTTGTTCCTAACTTGAATACGTAACTGTGCTGCACTCTTCTAATTGTTATTCATCCAAAGTTCTGAAGACTTTGATCTCTTCTTCTCCTATTTACACTTCGAACGTGCACTATCAATTTATCCTTCACCAATACATAGTTTACAATCACTACGATCTTTTATGTTCGTGCACTGAGAAATGGCATTCTTCATATGCCATTGCCAACAAGCGTGTTACTATTTTTATCCTTTCGATTTGTTCTTTCACCTCATATTGTTTACGCTGTATCAATCAAAGTCCATCTATACCACAAAATGGTATATAAGGAACGAGAAAAATACAGTACAAGATGATTCTTGATAGATTAAAAAAGTATTAGTTATATAACGCTTTATACGAAGGATGCGCAAGTACGGGTACAACTTGTATTCACTTGTACTACCCCCTCCCCCCCCCAAAAAAAAAAACATAGAATTCTAGAATTCATGTATTCGGACAAGGGGGAAATAGCGTACTACAAAACTCCAGTCTTGTCTGGAGTCCAGCAATCCAAGCTATGATAAAATCTGTTGCTTATTGCCTTCAGCTATCGGAAATAAAAAACAGACTATGCATTAACTGTCGCTTAAAACTTTTCTTTTTTTACCATCACAATCTTTTGTAAATGCTTCATAGCGTCTGATAAAGTGTAAAAATATGAAAACAATTAACGAATGACAAATTTTTAAAAATAATAAGGAAATTGTAAAGTTAAAAAACTTCAGCTTCATAAGCAGACTATATACTGTATGATATACTATGAAAGAAGTAAAACGAGAAGTATAAACAGGAAAATGTTCCTAAGGTAAATATTATTGTCTTCTCGTTCTTTTTACAACTTCTTTCGTATTATAAGATGATTCTACTGAATGAAGCTTTCTGTTCGCTCTACTTTTACTTTTTAATAATGGCGAAGGTTGTTCAACACTTTCATGATCATCGGTTGTTATAGAGGTAGATGTAGAATTAAGTAATATCGCATTTGATGATGATTCTTGATCTGGTACAGTATCTGAACATGTAAAAGATTGTTGATTATCTGCAGTTACTGATGAAATCAGCTTACAATTTTTATTAATTCTTTTATTTTATCACATGTATTATTATTACGAAAATCTTGTAAATGCCTGTAAAAATTTGATAGTTGAAATTTACCACGATTATTTGTTAATGATATCCATTTTTTACAACAACATTTTATATTAGCTTTTAATACACCACTTGCATCATTTTATATGGAAATAGAGTAATGTTGGTCTTCAATCAAGGACAAATTTGACAAATTAAGTCTTGATTCATTATTTTTACACCAATTGTTCAATGCATTATTTATATAAGTTTTATGTTCATCGAGTGATAAGTTTAAAGATTTTGATGTGACAATGTTTGATGAATTACTCGATAAAACCGCCATTGTTGATTATGTGGTAGTTGAGGATGTGTTTATGGTTCTATCTAATGGTGGTGATGATTGATTACGTTTTGAAGATTTTGATAACTTTGCATCATCAGTACATTTTTGTTTCAATAAATCAATAAGACAGTCCACATTTCCTTTTATACCAGGTTTTATAATGAATGTATCATCATCAAGCATAAAACCGTTTATTTTTAAAAAAATCTAAAGCTTTGCTTTTCAAATTCATAATACAATAAACATCAGCTGTCATCAACAAAGATTTAACACAGTTGATACTTTGAATTTCAAAAAGATCAACAGCAGCATCACCAGCTTCTTTTCGAACAAAATAAAAAAATTTAACGTCACGTAATGACATGATATCAGATGGCAAAATTGATGTATCAATAAGAGCTTCTGTTTGAAACATATTTAAATATTAACTATATTTGTATAAATAAAATTCTCTCTCGAGAGAGAGAGAGAGCAAGCGAGAAAGGTTTAATGATTCATGAATATTATGAGCCAATAACTTCTAAAGTGATGTTNTATTTTGGGTGGTAAATTGACCTATGAATTTCTTAGATTAAATTTACCTGGATCTTTACCACATCTATCTTTATTAAATTCATTGATTTCAAGTTCAGATTCAAGAATCAGCGAAGGAGAATTTAGATTCGATAACTTCAAAAACATTTTGATAGTCTTAATGTGCAATATGTATTCGACTCTGAAGATTGTACTGGTATAGTTAAAAGAATAAAATATGATTCAACAACAAATACATTTACTGGATTTCCTTCATTACTTGGTCGTGGAGTGCCAGTTAAATCATATTATCAGACTGACTCATTTGATGCATTAAAATTATGGCTCAATTCAATTGATAAAGCATCGTTATTGAATGTACATATGATTCAGCCAGTGCAATCCACAGATAATAGCAGCATACCAAGTCCTTATCTATTATCAGCATATGGAATTGACAATACTGCAACAGCGAACGATATATTACAGAGATGGTGGTATATATTTAATCAATCCTTACAAAGAAATATCAGAACCATTGGTTTTTCTACTGGTGAGACAATTTTTTTCAAATTTTATTAAAGAATAACTGCGTTTTTTTATAGACGCGGATCCAAAATATTTACGTGCTATATGCGTTTAATGAGCGGTTTTCTTGGAGCTCTTCCGAATTTTTAAGTTCATCAGCACACACTAAGCATTTCAAATAAAAATAAGGTCACACTGGTCTTGGTCTTATCTTCGTGAACAACAATAATTATTATTTTTTCAAGGTCCGACACATTTGATAACCAAATGGCGTAATCGTTTATCATCAGCAACAGCAGAATTATGTCTCGGAAATCAGCCTATATCGATCAATCATTTGCATGATATTATTGAAAATGATACTTATTCTAAACTTGATCATAGCCTAACAAAATCTGACATTAACCCTAAAGATCGTCAAAACTTTAGTTCTTGTTTGAAATTAACATCAAATGATCTATTCAATATTTTAAACGCTACTGTTGATACTCGTGGAACCTTGCTTTATTTTCAAGTGTTAAAAATGATTATAGTAGCCTATATTGAAAAAACCACAACAATAGTTGAAAGTGAGTACTTATACACGCTAGATCACATATAATAAGATTTTATTGTAGGATTACGATCTGCTTGGTGTGTAGTGTTTTTTTGTCGACTATGGTTTACCTGGATTAAATTTAAAACATTTAATTAAACACAAACCAGAAAAAATAATAAAAGCAGATATTTTATTACACAACCAGCATATTTATCGGTTGAAATAAATGCTCATAATTTTTTATATTTAATTTTACTTGTCAAACAAAAGCAGTAACCACCACAAACATTGAATATTCCTATTTTTAACTCGCAAGCTTGTGAATCAATTATTAGAAATACGCTAGCGTTAAGTGGAATTTAGTCAACTTTACAGTACATGCTTTTCTACGACGTGCCCAAAGATGATCATTATTGAATGACATTAAATGTAAACAGTTACATAATGATTCAGTTGAAAAGTTAGTCTTTCCGGTTCATTATAAACATCGAGTTGAACGTCAATCATCATTTACACACAGTCAACTTGAAATTGATGAAATAGACATCGAACAAGTTATTACTGATGCCTATCATCATGCTGTTGATATGCTTGAAGGTCCAGATATATTGAACTTATTGAAAAAACAAACATGTTCTTGAATTAAAACCATTAAGTGAATATTTATTTTGACAATTAAATTACAATTCACAAAAACACAATTACTCTTCTCAAATAAACAATATAGACGATGATAACGATGCAGATGGAGATGAAACAACAACTGATCTCAACATGAATGAGGACAATGATGATAGCTCTATTAACAACGGTTACACTGATGAAGATGAACAAAATAACACTCAATATTTAATAAATACTACAAAGAAAGACTTCTCTGGAGTAAAAGTAGCTGATAAAGTGGAGCCTCATATTGAACATAGCTATTTTAAAGTGAAATTCAATCATGATACACAATTTTTACACAAACAAACTGCTTGTTGGTTGTTAACAGAAGAGAAAAGTAAACTTTCAAATGACCGATTGCTTCGCGTGCAACAGGTCATTAAATGATAATATAAATGTTTTTTTCTTTTTTTTTTATAATTTTTGTTTGACTTTTTTCAATAAATGGTATATTTTGTTGAATTCAAAATTTTTTATTCATTGAATGTGTTGTATATGGGTGGTGCACAGATACTGTGCGAACATCTCAAAAGTGGAGTCAGTATCAGTTTAATTCTATGTAACAGGTGATGAAAAGTAAAATCAATATACAGTAGTATTACATGTCTATAATATACTTGTGAAGTGCTCTCTAGAATTTCAAACGACTCCACTAGACTCCACTGGGCTTCACTGGACTTCACTGGACTTCACTGGATTGGAGTCCGCGATTTCCCCCTTTGGTAAGGGTGTGTTGCTTGAGAATTTGAAATTTTTCTGAGATAAACAAGTGTGGCGTCACTTGTGATCTTTTCACAAGATGAATAGTTTTGCTTGTCCTTCGGGCAAATATCGGAAATGGTCAGTCCAAGAGTGAATTTTGAAAAATTATCAATCAATTCTATAAGATGATTGATGCTGGCATATTGCTCTCCCATCAGCAAAACTGTTGTCGACGATAATAAGCGGTTTCGTAATTTAGTACACAGATGTATACCGTCTTGAAAACATACAAATAGCTGCATTGGTTCTTAAAAAAAACCATGAAGCTTTCTAAACGATGCAAAAAAAATATATTAATAAATTCATAAAACTGGAAATTGATTTTACTCGAGTAAAAATATTCAGAATTTCATTTAAAATTTTCGTGCTAGATAACAAAGAAAAATAAAACAAGTGCGGAAACAATCAATATCGATTCCATTTTGTTAACTAATTTTCTTCGCTGAAATGTTTCTGCAATTAACACTAACATTTGTTGTCAAATATTGTCTCTACATCTGAATCGGCTTTTATATTTTACCAATGAAAAGTCGCTTCCTATTATCAAATTGCACTATTTTCGTCATTGAATAGCGTCAATGTACACGACAGAAGGTTTTCAGCAAAGTATTTCTCTTCGTTTAGTTCACAGTAATTTCTGACAAAATATTATCCAATGTATCTTACTTGATTCGCTTGATTTTAAAGCTGAGAAATGTTTGAAAGTAGGTCTTACTAATGCTCAATGTTTAAAACCATTTGAAATCTATATCAACTTTACAGAACTAAAAATTTAGTAATCGTTTTCACATTACACTGCATATACAGATTCATGGGTTTTATCTTGAAAACTACCGATTTACTTACTTTGAGTAAAGAAATTTTGAACCAATTCGGATGATCTTCAAAGTCGGTTGGTTGTCTTGAAAAGAATCCCATTGATTAACGCATGGCTTTCACCTGTTTAGGATCGCAATCAGCTGAAGATCCTAATACTCGAATATTTTGAGCCATACATGAATCGAAAATTCTTGATCATCTGGCGAGAACATCTTCACCTGTATAAACGCTATTCGTGCCATATGCTGCAAGAAGAAATTGTGGTGCTGGTCGCACGTGACCAATAGGACAAGTTGATTGAATAACATGTACATTGATCAAAGATGATTTATCTATTTGTTCATACCATGTGTGGGTGTGGGTATAGGTGTGTCGTTCTGTCCTATTCTATATCCCAGACCCAGATGCACATTTACACCCTGAACTTCTCATCCCAGCTTTATTTGCACGAATGCCATTCACCCTACCCTATTGCATCAGCTTGCATAAAACAATGGTTTGGTAAAGAAAGGTAAACAAACTTCGTTCTTTGCATACATACGCATATATTCAATACATTACCGAGTTTTTCTATTAATTTTTAATGCGGTGCGAAGCACAGCATTCATGTAGTCTGCCGCGCGTTTTTTTTTGTTTCTTTCTAACTTGAATACGCATAAAAGTTCTAATAAAGCAGCGCGATGATCTAGAAAACCGTAAATGATAGAAAATCCATTCAAACTAGATATGAAACTATGGAGGTCGAACTTGTTACATATTTTTTTCCAATTTTCAATGCTACGTTTCGTTCGCCTAAAAATATCATTCGAAAATGATGATTTTGAAAGGTTTTATTGTTTGATAGTTTCGAAATAATTAAAATGACGTCATCAAGTAATAGTAGCCAATAGTCTATTTCTTCGCACCTGATCTGAGATAGTGATTCATTGAAATAATTTAATGTTCAATCAAAAGCATTCTCTAGGATTATGGTGATTATCACGAAAAACAAATCTCAGCAATGAATTTTATTATGACCACTTAAGAATTTTAAAAAAGTCATGAGTTTTTGTTGTTTATTACAACTGCTGAAGACAGGAAAATGTGTATATATCAAGCGAATATGAAACTAATCAGACCATAACGATGTCTAATTAAGTTTAATATTGCTTGTTCCATTTCCGTTAAATTTTTTATTTTTTCGTGCACTCGACTTGCGCTTCGCACCTAATTTCGTAGTCGAGTGAAACTCGAATACCATCTAGTATGATTCATCGTGCATGACAAAAAATGTTAGAAATAGCCATCTCCCAATATTATGAAGAAAATAGTATCCAAATATGTGTGACTGCAATTTTTACTTCGTCATACTCAGCAAATAATAAATGCACATATAGTTATAAAGAGGAACCACACAACAAATTGAAGCAGTTATAAAGAGGAACCACACAACAAATTGAAGCAGTTAAAAAGAGAATTGCAACGCATCACACACTCGTCGTAGCTCCACTCACAGAAAATAGAGTTCAGTGAATACTCATACAATGCTATCTCGACGAACATTCGACGCTAATCCACACAGGTTTGTTTTGTTTCCTCTCTCTGCAACCTAAAATGTTTCACTTTTGTGATCGACTTTTCCTAGAACTCGAAACGGCTGGATCCCGTTAGCCATTATTATTTTCATAACGATCGTGTTTTTGTCTGTGGCAATCTGTATTGTGCTCAGTTTGTTACCAATCTATTTGCCTGACAAAAACATCAGTGTCACAACTAATAACGGACAAAGTAAGCATCTTGCTACGTATGCTATATAAACTGCGGACTAGAATTATAAGAGCAACTGTTTGAGTGCAATTATTTGTTTGCTTTCGATCGCTTTAGACTTTCGAGAAACGATAAGTCGTTGTGATTGTGTGCCTTCGAGTATACTCTATTCAAATATGGAATCATATTTCCTAAACAGTATTGCCAAGTTGGAGATAACAAATGCTTACTAACGTTCGTTGCTTTTCGTGGATCCAAAATTATGAAACCATTATCATATATTCGTTATTTGGAGATAAGAGTGACGTTGCTTTTGTTTGAAAATCGCATAGACAGATACAGAAGCTTCTTATGGACGTTTTCATAAAAAAAACGCTTTTAAAAACATGAGGGGCGATCAATTTACGACTATAAAAATTTATTAAATCCAAAAATGAATTTAAATTTATATAAATTCCGTTTAAATGCAAGTAAAAACGCTCAACAGCAGCTTCTGTATCTGCCCATGCAACTCTCAAGTAAAACTAACGTTTATTTGGTCCACAAATAACGAACATATGCCAGTAGGCCGATAATTTTTGATAGACGAAAACAAGATATTTTAATATAAATTTGTTTTCTCGAGCTTGGAAATAGCAGTAATGTAATT